TAAGCTCATGGTTTAACATTATGTGGCTTAAAGTTATAAGTCCCAATGAGTGTATGTATGTTAATCTTACAAAAGATTTTCACTTTAGTTATGCTTCCTTAATGAAAATTTTTCTTAAATCAAGAATTAATCTTTGGAAATTTCTTGTTGGGAAATCATCAACCCTTAATCAAAATAATTAAACCTTTTTAAACCAGACATTCATTAAAGAGAAATTTCCAAATAACATATGTTTTGATCTATGCTTTCATAAACCTCTCTTGAGATTTTATGTTAGGTAAGGTTGTCCTTCGAGAAACACGTACCTCCTTCCCTAAAAAAATTTAATTAAAGTTCATATTAAATATTCTTCAAAAAAAAAGAATGAATTATTAGCCAGTTATTTTTTTATCATTTGATTGTTTAGTTCGATACCTAGTCAGTTATTTATTCTTTCCATTTGATTATTTTATTCATTTAGTTGTTTATAGTGATTTTATTTGGTCGTATCCTAATATCAAATGATATATCATGGGGAAATGTAATATTTTTTTGTGATTCTTTGATTTCATGGAAGAGCATGAAACAACCTTATGTGCTTAAATCCTCTACTAAGTTTAAATATCATACACTTTTTGGCTTTGTTTGGAATAGCTTTCTTGTTGCTTTCTAAAGTAGATTTTAGTATAAAAAGTTTTAGTTCAAAAAAAAAAAAAAAGTACTAGAAAGCTACTTTATAAATCAATAAGAAAGCTGTCCCAAACAAAGACAAAAGCCTTTATCAACTACTATGAGATTATCTAGTTTTATGAACATATATCTAAAATGAATTTTTCTTAAAATAATCTTTCTCCTCTCCATATGGATAATGTTAGTGCATTTCCAATTGTTACTAATCTTGGTTATCATGTATACACAAAAGCATACAACAACAATAACAACAACAACATTAAGCCATTATCGCACTATGTGAGGTCAGCTACATAAATCAATTTTCTTTATTGTGTCAAGTCAAGAGTTAAATTCTCGATTAAATCTAATAAATAAAATCATTTATAATATTTTTTAGCTAAGTATTTTTTGATCTACCTCTATTTTATTATAATAAGTCAAATATGATATATCTACTATCTTAACTAGGTCATCAGAAGGATGACATTTTATGTGACCAAACCATCTAAGGAAACTCTTTTAATTTTTTGTCCCACTAGAGCTACTACAACCTTTTCACATATAAGCTCATTTTGCATTATATCTCTAAGAGTAAAGCCACTCATCCACTTGAGCATCCTCATCTCTATAACACTTAATTTTTGGTTTTTTTTAAATGGCCAACATTTGATTCCATAAAGCATTATATGTCTCACCACCGTATGCTAGAATTTTTCCTTCAGTTTGAGGGGTATTTTACTATGACACAATGCATTTCTCCACTTTAAGCATCCAATTTGAATTTTACTAATAATATTCCCATTCATTTTTCCATCATTTTGAACAATAAACCTGAGATGTCTAAAACGAGTACTCCTATTAGTGACTTGACTACCCAAAGTCACAATCCCCCCACTAGATCTATTGCTACTAAAATTACACTCCATGTATTTAGTTTTAGATCTACTCACATGAAAACCATTAGAATATATGGTTGTCTTTCATAATTCAAGTTTACCTTCAACTCCCTCTCTAGTCTTATCAATAAGAAGAATATCATCAGCAAAAATCATAAACCAATGTACATCCTCTTGAAGATGTATAGTAAAAACATCCATGGCTAAAGCAAAAATATATGGTCTTAAAGCTGATCCTTGATGTAATCCAACTGAAATTAAAAATAAAACTTTGTCAAACCACTTTGTTTTTTAACACAAGTAATAGCTTATGCATACATATCCTTTATGACTTGAATATAAGTTTTATTAACCACTTTCTTTTTTAGAACTCTCAATTGCACTTCTCTTTTAACTTTATCATATGCTTTCTCTAAATCAATAAATATTATATGTAGATCATCCTTATTCTCTCTATAAATGTATAGCTTCCATAGTAGACACACCCAACATGAATCTAAATTGATTTTGAGAAATATTATTATCACATCATAACCTATGCTCAATAACTCTATCTCATAGTTTTAAAGTATGACTCATTCACTTAATTCTTCAATAATTCACACACATATGTGCATCACCTTTATTCTAAATATAGGAATCAACACACTCCTTCTCCACTCATCTAGCATCTTTTTATTATTCAAAATATTACTTAAAGGTTTTATAAGCTGAGAAATTCCTTCATCTCCTAAACGTTTCCACACCTCTATTGGAATATCATTAGTTCCAAATTTTTATTTTCATTTAGGGTGCTAAACTTACTAAAGTCGATTGTATTCTCATAATCGTCATTGAAAAGCTTATCAAAATATCTCATACCCGCCTTAGTATCTAATTTATTAGATAAATCATTAAAAAATATCATCTTTGCATTGCATATTACTTTTGTAGACTTCTTTCGCACCTCTTTATATCTTTTCCAATTTTTAGATTTTTTATATTTAAATTAATTTTTATAACAAAGCTTCTTACTTTTTATCTTTTCTTGGTTCCACAACCAATTATTTTTAATATTAGGGGATTTTTCTTTTGATACTCCAAGCACTTCTTTTACAATATTTTTAATATAACTAGCTATTTGTTCCCATATAATATTAGCTTTCTTTCATGTAAAGTCAAAATCTTGAATCTTACTCTAAAAAATATCATTGTTAGTGCTCTTTAAATACCCCTATCTAATCTTAAGATAATATTTTACTTTATTTTTCATATTTTGTCCCTTCATCTTAAAGTCTAACATTAATAAGCTATGCTGGACACAGAAATTTTTTCTCAGAATAATTTTATAATCTTTGTACTCTAAATGATCTATTTTTCTTATAAGAAAATAATTAATCTATGTTTCACTGTATCTATTCTTATAAGTGATGATATGATCCTCTCTTTTCTTAAATAAGATATTAACAATTACAAAATCATAAATTAAAGAAAAATCTAACATGATCCTACTATCTTCATTAGTCGCTCCAAACCTATAGCTATCATGAATGCTTGTAATATTTTCTACCTCTTTGCAAACATGTCTATTTAAATCTCCTTAAAAAAATACTTTCTTCAAGATATATATTTTGTTTTAATTCTTTTAAGTTATTCCAAAATCTTAATTTTGAACACATCCAAAATTACTTAAGGAGCATAAGCACTTATAATATTAACAATATCAACTTCAATAATAATCTTTAAAATTATAATTCGACCTCAAATTTTATTAATTTTTAAAACATTATCATTCAAATTATTATCAATAATAACACATACTCCATTTCTACTACGACTCATACTTGAATATCATATTTTAAATTAAATTGTCAATCTCTTTAGCTTTCTCTCCAATCCATTTAGTTTTTTGAATACATAGAACTTTTATCATCATATGAATCATAATATATATTAATTTTATTAATTTACCTATAAGAGAACTTATATTCTAAGTTCATATCCTAATTCTAATTTCATGGATTAACTTCTTTGCCCAAAGCAATCCATGATGTGGTAACCCTTGCTTATTTAACACTAAACACAAGTGCTGGTGCAACGGCCCTTGCATAATTCTCGTTGTATTCAGGACAATACAATGCATTACTTCCAAGAAACACCCTATGATTAACAAAAAAAAAATGATTCATGTTATGATTCTTCGACAAATTTTATATTAGCTGTCAACTATCTAACACAACTTTCCACTTTTCTCATCCAAGACTTAGGACTTGACAACGACAATATTTTGTATGCACAAAAGCATAATTGAAGTAAATTGTTAATTTATTTAAGCAATTTTTGGCACTCTCATTATTTCCCTTTGTCATGATTATACTTACTTTTAGTTTGCTCATATCTCTACCAATGTCATAACACTATAACAGCTCCTTGTGGGCATATTTATGTTTCTTGAACAATCATCATCAATTTTAAGGGGAGGATTGGAAATACGACAACAAATCATACCAAACTCATGATTCTAGTAACTTTTAAGCTTCGTTTAGGATGTCTTTCTTACTGCTTTTTATAGCAGCTTTCTAGTGCATAAATTAAATTGTTTATACTAGAAAACTATTTTTAGAAATAGTAAACCTTAGTTTGCTCCGGTATTTTTGATTTGTAATTAACGATGTAACCTCTATGTAATTAAATATTGTAACTACAAATATTTGTATTTAGGATTACAAACTTAGGTTCCTTATTAGGTTTAATTTAATTGTTGTGATTTGTTGCCATTTAACTTTGTATCATACCAATTGTTATATATATAATGATTAGAATCCTATATGAAGATAAATTTGATTGACATATAAGGCAAACCATTTCATCATAACCGCTATTGTCTTGGTTTAGAAGTGAAAGGCCATAAATCAATATTAATTAAAGTAACAAGGAAATAAATTTAATATTCAAGTGTGATATATAAAAAGAATTTTAATTTAGTAAGCATGAATTTCTTATTGTTGGGCTGGAGAATTCTAAATGGCCATTACAGACACAAATTACTATATCGTTTAGCATTCAGACGCTAAAACAGCTCGTGCCAAATATGACTATCAAGCGTTTCTTCAGAATATTAAAATGGTTAAAAAATAGGTTAAAGATATTTCTTCAAAGAAACAAGTTTTTCTTTGTTATAACTTCATAGATAAAAAATTTGCAAAGAGTGCAAATGTCTCAAGTTCTCAAAATAAAAATCGTAAATTTAAAATGTTTTTATTTTATTTTGGAAGTAAGCAATTCCCTGGTAAAAGGATCCCTGAACCACAGGTTAAACAAGTTTTTTCACCAATGTTATAAATTCAAGCCCTATATTTATAATTTAGCGCTCATCATTAAAAAAAATCAGCATTTACTACAACAAGGGAATTTGCATGAACATTTCACTCCTTTCAGAAGGCTTCATCATCTAGTACAGAAAAACAAATAAAAAAGCAAGAAGGCAATGAGATCATAATATTAAAATTATTCATGTTTCAGGTATAGGAACAACGTCAATAATCATTGAATTTCCATAATAACAAGTAATTATTATAGATTTTTGGCTAGTTTAGCTTTACCAAACTTAGCCTAGTAGAACTGTCTTGCTTCCTTTAAGATTGATTGCTGAAAGTTCTTGTTCTACATAATCCCCTGCATAGAGGGAAGGATATCTGCTTGCATCTGGCGCTTCTGCAAAGTGACCTAAAGGCTTTAGCACCACATCAGAAGCAATGTGTGCAAATAGCTGGTCATTACAAAACAAAGTAAACAACGAAAGATCAGGTACAGGGAAAATATGCAAAAGAAGAAAAATTCTTAGTTACCGTGATTTGACTTGATTCTAAGACTTCCTTAGGGACAATTTTCTTACTGTTTGTAAAAGCAACTTTTCAGTACAAAAATTTAAATTTTTTACTGAAAATCTGCTTTAAGCAGTAAGAAAGTCATCCCAAATCAATTCTGATTGGGAAACAAAATGAATCAAACAAACGACCAAAGATAGAAACCGAAGTAGGCCCTGCCCAAAGTGAATGAAACGTTGGATCCCATTAAAATTTCAATTATGAATATGTTAAGAAGTGACACTTATGTTTAACGTCACTTGGGAAAAAAAATTAGTGTAGAGATAGCAAAAAATTAGCACTTATTCATGAGCTTAATTTTTGAAATGAATATGTTTTGGACCATTATATTATTAGACCCAACTTTAACTCCCCTTTGATTCACTCTATAATAGAGTTGAAAGCCAAAAGAATATTGATATATCATAAAAAAAATATCTTGATCGGGCACGAATCTCGAGGCAAAATCAAGCCGAAAACTTCAAAAATTAAATCCGGGATCATCTAAACTCATATTTTAGCAAACTTATAGTCGAACTGAGTGTCTCGGAAATATGAACCCAACGACACCAAATTCGACTCAATCCGAGCCAAAATGAGTCCAAATCAAGGACCCGAAGTGCTGTTCGAAAGTTCGAACCACAATTTGAGTTACCAAACGGTTTCGAAACATGATGTGCTTATAGTCGAATCGAGCGTCTTGACGAGACGAATCCAGCGAGCCCAAGATCGCCGAATTCCGACATCATTAAGACCTTTAAATATTTGATGAGTCCAAATCAAGGACCCAAAGTGTTGTTCGAAAGTTCGAACCACAATTTGAGTTACCAAACGGTTTCGAAACATGATGTGCTTATAGTCGAATCGAGCGTCTTGACGAGACGAATCCAGCGAGCCCAAGATCGCCGAATTCCGACATCATTAAGACCTTTAAATATTTGACGAACGGTACACGATCAAGGGATTCAATATTGGCCGTCCATCCGAACCACTCCACATTTGCTCTTGATCCTCCTCCTATTTACGGGTCATGTCATCCTCAAAAAACTATAATAGCCCCTCATTTCTCTTGAGAGGGGGCCAAGCAAGAAGAAGAAGAGAAAAAAGAAGAGAAGGATAGGAGGGAAGAAACTCCTTGACCACCGCCGGGATCCTGTCTGACTTCCACGGGACGCCGAATTCTGTCCGACTTTCACGGGATGCTGGAATTCTGCCAGACTTTCAAGTGACGCCGGAGTTCCGCCAGACTTCCAAGTGATGCCGGAGTTCCGTCCGATCTCTAAGTAACACCGGAATTCTGTCTGATCTCCAAATGACTTTGGAATTTTGCCCGCATACCATCTAACGCCGGAGTTCTCCCCAGCCGTCGACTATGGTCCTTCCGACTTACGTTGCCCGCCGACTACAGTCCTTCCGACCTCCGTTGGCCGCCGACTACAGTCCTTCTGACTTATGTCGCCCACAGACTACAGTCCTTCCAACTTACGTCGCCCACCGACTAAAGTCCTTTCGACCTCCGTCACTCGCCGACTACGATCTATCCGACTTACGTCGCCCACCAACTACGGTCCTTCAGACCAAACGAACACATCAGCAGTGACTCTTTATATTCCCATCATGTAATGTACTCTATAAGATGTACATTAAGTTAAGGCCTTCCCCCAAAGAAGGGCTTCATTTGTAATCAACTGTAATACTAGTGGATTTATTCAAACTGGGCTAGGCCCCGTGGTTTTTCCCCTTTTACAGGGGTTTTCCACGTAAAAATCTTGGTGTCTCTCATAAATGCAACACTCTCTCTCTTATCTGATTGCATGCCGGATTTTCATACTACGCTAAGATGCTAAATTTTATATTTCTCTACCGCCGCGAATACTCCAGGACGCAACAACTATGATTTGGATTAGTTTCATTTGATTAAAAATGATAATTTTAGTTTGGTTCAGTTTGGATCTGCTCAATCTAACATTAACTAGAATATGAAGAGATCTTTTAGATAACAATCTAAGGATCACTCTTTCATTTTTGGTTACATTAGTCAACATAAATCATGTTTGGTTCCATTTTATTTGGTTTCCAGAAACTTCAAGCCGAATAGTTTATTAAAAAATCAAAATCATACTAGTCTTTTTTCTATTTGGTTAGGTTTCGGGTTAGTCCATGTTATTGCCCACCTTCATAAGGAATAGGTCATTTTGTCGTATAATCTAAGAATAACCTCGTATCACTTACAGTTGAAGAAACCCTCCATAGGCTGCGGTTCTGCTGCCTTGCAATTTCAATGGCGCTAAGAGTTCTATTAGTTACAACAACTTCATGCATCCCAGCCAAGCATTCACCTCCAGTAAGCCATTCTAACTGCAGACAAGCAGAATTTGATGTTATTAGTAATAAATTCTTCAACTTTCCTACGCATTTATGTCAGGAATCAAGATGCAAGGTGAAATTATCTGTTAAATTTTATGGTCGATCAACAAATGATTATATTTTCATCTAATGAGAAAGCTCTGAAATATTAAGTTTTATTCTAATCTAGAATATAAGAACAACTTACCTGTTTTCCTGACTGGATGAGAAGGCAACCCACAGGGACCTTAACTTCAACTTTATGTCCATTTTTTAGCCAGATATTAAGACCAGGGAATCTGCTCCTACCATGAATTGTTAAGAAGTTGAGGTCATAATGATATCCAGCAAACACAGTTCCCTCAAAGCCATGACGTTGGAGGTTGCTTCCAGTTGGACCAAGCAAGTGAGGACCCTGGTGTTTTCATTTGTAAAAGTAGGGAGAAAAAGAGGTTTACATGTGGTGGAATTTGAAAAGAGAAATTCAATTTAGTACAGAAGATACCAAACTCATTTTACAGAGCAAATGATGTTACAAAAAAATAATGAGAGCATGAAGATGTTCAAAAAGATGAAAAAAACAGAATAAAAGTTATATTCAAAATCACAATCTTTCACTAAATAATTAGAATTGAATGGAAGCTTCATACGTAGAATATTTTGTCATCAAAGCTTTTCACTGAACCTTTACCTGTAAAGGGCACACCTTTACCTGTAAAGGGCACAAGCAATATAAAATGTACACTACATATTCAAATAAAGATGTAGAGAAATTAAATAAGAAACCTTGATGAAATTTTACCATTTCTTTGAGCAATAGAACCATGATATCTAAAATGTTCACTTTTTTCAATGACTAATAAAGGTACTAATGAGGCATTCGAATATCAATGATGATAAGTGAAGACAAGATAAAAGATAGCTAAAATTTTAATGATAATGTATTCGTGTTTGCTGGATAAGCTCTTAATAGAGGTCTTGAAAGAAACAACAATGAAAAGGTTGTAGCTCAATATAAAGTCTTTGAGGAATATTAATGTGAATGTTGATGATAAGAATCAATTTTTGTAATTATTATTCTCTTAAACTCACACTTACAAGTATTTTCATGTCATCATGTTGCATAGGAGAAATATAATTAGCATTGAGGATGTGAATCGCTCACTTCTATCAATGAATTTTATATTTTAGCTTAAGGGTGTAAATGAAGAAAAGAATAGGAGAATTTTTTTGAGAAAATCTCTAATTATGATACAATTTAACTTTATTGGCCAAGAGACCAGGACAACACTTATTTCTCCTATATGAATCTAGGGCACATCAATAGAGACTGCCACACATTAAAGAGGAAAGAGTAACCACAAGAAGGGTAAGTCGATGGATGCTAATATAATGTCTTACATAGATTAAATGATCTTCATTCAATTATTACAAGATTCAAGTGAAGCAATTAGTGGATATTTGATAGCTTCATTATATCATATATATTTTAACAAGAAGATAGTTTCTACTTACAAGTGCCATGTTGGTCATGCATAAAAGACTTGGTTTTTGCATTGTGAAAATGAAGGCATATGGTCATATAACTAGGATGTTAACTAGAGTTAGGCATGCACCAGATGTAAAGAAAATTTTAAAATCTTTAAGCACTCTCAAATATGATCAAACGTTTTTTGGTAATGCATAAGTCCTTAAAAGTTAAAAAGGTGCTTTGGTTGTCACTAAGGCAAATAGAATTGGTGGACTATCTATTGCAATGTGTGAATTTGATTGGAACTAATTAAGTTTTATCTTCATCTATATTAGAGCATTACATTTTAGGAAAATAGAAAAGTGCATAACTTCCTGGCTTTAGCAGAAGTTCCTTAACAAAGTTGGGTACATAATAAAGAGAAGACTTTAAGAAATGGTCAGATGGATTGATCTTATGTTGAAAAATAAAGAGCAAGAGAGCAACCACCATAGAGGTATAAAATTCAAAATTAAACGGACTTTCAATTTCAGTGATCTACATTGACATGCAACCATTGTGATTCAAATGTCACTCACAAATTTTCTGTTTAGGCATCATCTAAAATTATTGAGATTGTGTGATGCTCAGTAATTTATGCTTTGGGATCTTATAGTGCTTGATTTGGAAAAAGTCACAGAGAAAATCAACATTATTGCCAAGACATTGAGTCAAGGGAGGGAGGTAAGATTGTTAATTTTGACTAAAAAATGTTTGTTTTTGTTGCAACGTATTTCTACAAGATTTAAAAAATTCTATAGAATCCAGATGCTGAAAATATTTTCTTACAAAGGATTGATTTGATTAGAAAAGTTGGATGCATTATATTGGAGAACCTCAATTCAACTGAAGTATTTCAGGCATTGATGGCTTGGCACAATACCTATCAATTATGAGTTTGAAATATATACAAAAAGAACATCTTGTTGTGAGGTAATCTTATTTTTGAGGATTTCTTTTGGGTTATTCGATTGAGAGGTGTACATAAATCTTGGGAAGGATTGCCAAGTATTTTTAACACTATTTTATTAATTTTATTTTTAGTGGATTGGATCCCATAAATGTAGGCTTTGTTTAAGCCAAAGTCCAAACAACATAAATTTCAGCCTCTTATATGTGCTTGGTTTCTTTATGCTTCTTTGCAATGCATTGTCTTTCGGTCTTCGAGGCACTTTTACATTGAATTTACATGTTCAATTCTTACAAACTTTAATGTACAAGTTTTCTTGAACGATCTTCATGTCAAATTATAGAATCCGAGAGTCAAGCATCCAAACTATCCTAGTGTGGCCAAAACAGCAATGTTATATGCATAATAAGTTGTTAGGTAACTACCACAAAAGTGAATCATTTAACAAGACACATGATTAGACTGTTTTGAGGGTGCTTGTTGAGGACAATGCTATGCATATCTGATAAATAAATAAAACCAAAGTCGGAGCTTGTTTAGCTTGATTCCATGAACACTTAGCACCATGGATGAGATTTAATACAATGAGTACACATAGGTTCGAGGTTTCAATGTGCCGATGCCTGAGAAATATTTACACGTGCATTGATTACATACACGCCTATATGGATATATATCTACAGAGAAACAAACATAAATAAAATAAAATACCATTGATAAAGAAGTGCATAGTACAAATATTACATGTATCACCTCACATTTCACAACACAGACATGCGTGCATGTGGGAACATAAATCCTTTCATATTCATGCAAACACATTATTAAAAATCAGATTTGTCTGCTACACAAAAGCATGCATTTCATTATATGGTAATTTTTCTCCAACAATGTTCTATATGATGGGGACATCAGATTTCGACACGTGCACCATCGCCGACGGCGCAGATTGACGGCTACGATCCAGAGCCTCTACTTCTGAGTTATTTACAGCTTATGTCATGTGTACTTTTGTTTTCCTAGTTTGCCCCTGAGGCATTTTTCTACTTATGTAGCCTAGAGGGCATTTATGTCTTTTCATTTTCTTTTATTTTGAGCCTCCTTATATGAGGCATGATGCATTGTAAGTTTTTTAGTTTTTTGATGAAATGAAGTTTATTCTCCTTTGTTCTCTTTGTGAGTGCATTTCCCTTTGATCTCTTAGTGAGTTCAAAGGGAGAATTAGATCTCTCCGTGAGTTCTAAATATTGGCCCATGCGTGTTGTGAAAAGGTGAAATCAAGAAGAAACTCGAGGTGAAGGAAGTCGTTGGAAGAAATTTCCCTTTTCTTCAAATTCCCCTCCTTTCCCTCCTAGTGTCGCCGTCCCTAGAGCCCAGCACAGCCGCCGGCTCCCCTGTCCCGCCGCCCAGCCCTGCTCTGCCTTCCGCCGCCCCCAACCAGGGTCCCTCTCGCCGGCCCAACCATCTCCTGCCGCCGCCGGTCATCTCATCCCGCCGAGCCTTCCCTCCTAGCTGTTTCCATAATTAAATTCCCTCCTATTTCAGTTTCAAATTCCTGAAATATTTGGGTTTCATTAGCATTTAATGTTACCTAATTTTTCTCCCTAATTTAAGCAATCAAGATAAATTGGATTTGAATTGAAATTCATATTTGAATCAAATCCAATTGAATGCTTAATTTAGGAAACCTTTTTTGTCATGCCTAAAACTGAAATTGTTAATTACAGATTTATAATAAAATCTGGAATTAATCATGTGGACCCCACTTGCTTAAACTCCTTCTTTCCCCCTTCTCTCTCTTGGCCGGCCCTTCATTGAGCTCCTCTCTCTCTCCTAATCACCCCATTAATTCCCCAATTTCAGCCCCTAAATCTTCTCCCTTAACCGCCCCTTTTCCACTCTTTGATTTAATTGAATTTTCAAATTAAATCTCTCCGATTAGCCCCCCAAAAGCAATTTCCTGCAGAAAATTCCTGCAGCCTTTCCTTCTCTTCCCACCTTGGCCAAACTTCTCTAACCCACCTACTCTTGGCCGTTTCTCCTCCAACGCCCGAGCCGCCTCTCTCCTCCACTTGAGAACGTCTCGCGGCGACCGCTCACTCTTGCCGACAAGAATGTATGGAGGAACCCGAATGGAATTTCGGGTTTGAGTACGACAACCGCGGAAGGGTCAATATTCTCCGATCACCTTTCTTCGACGTCGGCTTCGACTTTGACGACACCGTCGAGGAGTACTTGGAGAGGATTCTACCACCACTAGTGGAGTCCATCGACGACCACTTCTCCGTCTACACGTGGATCATTGAAGGCCGTCCACCTACTCCTCCGAATCCGGCTTCCTCCCCGGCGACGAGTCCTCTCAAGATCACTTGTCTACTCGTAGCGTCGCTAAGCCTACTTACGGTCCTATTCCGCTAGCCACCACTATAAACATGAGTGACGGATCTTAAGGTGAAGGATTTAAATTTTAAGTTTGGGGCTTTGTTATTCTTAGTCATTTGCACTGCTAGAATTATTGATGTTATTTTGAAAGTCTTCTAATCTCTAAATGTGATATCTTGTCATTACTTAATTTATCGTCATCTAATTCGTGAACTCAACTTGATTAAGCAAAGAGTTTTGGTAGCAAGTTTTGAATCAATACTTCTATTAATTTTCTATGTGCAATTCACAACTCATCGCATGATTGATTCACATCACTATAACTTTTGAATTCAAGGTAAATCCATCCAAAAATGTGCGCATACTGCTTGAGGGCTTGCAAACTCTAAATATCGAAAGAGATTTGTTATATATAAGATATAGCAAATAATTTTATTTTGAAATTCTTTATAAACAAAACAAACAAGTTATAAAGGAAGAATCTTACAACTTAACTCACACCAAGCATTAAAAAAAAAAAAAAACTCTATTAGTAACAAAGTAAAAACCCAAAAGCATAGAAACATAAATCAAAATTACCTGTTTCATCAATGATGTGAATGAATCCTTTGGAAGGTTAAATCCAATAGCAGCCATTTCTGCAGCAACCTGTAAGTGTTTTGCAGTCTATGATTAAATAAAGTGTTCAGGAAAACAACATGAAAAAAAAAACTTCAACAATATCTTAGAGAAATAAAAAGAAGTAAAAGACATATCAAGCACCTCAATAGCAGATATCATTTTGGAACCCCATGAATCCATGGTTTCTTTCCATTCAGGGAACCCTTCAGGTATTACTGGTTCAGCATTTAGTTCCTGCAAAGAGAGGGAGTATGCATTATAAGAAACTTAATCAATAATCTTGCTTGAAGAAGCTACATAAGCAATAGTGGCACTAATTATGACCTTAAAGCGAGTATTTTTGGGTCGAGGACCCACTCTCCACATATAACGCCATTTAGGATCTTTTGTAGTCGGAATGGATGGTTGCGAATCAGGCGGCATCATTCTTATCTTTTCTTGCAAAAATGCATCTATTAGGCTGCGTGGAACCTCTACTCCTTCAGGTGTAACACCAACCTGTCTTCTTGCCCATTTAACGTTAGGTAATTGTTGAGTAAAAAATGTTGATAAATGCAAAGCTTATGGAAAAGAAAATTGTTGCTGAATCCCCATTCAATGTTAGCTATTTGTTTAAATAAATGGTGGAAAATGCAATTTTAATTGAAGAGTAAATTATGCTGATTGATTCTACAAAATCCTGGACTTCAAACTATGATTGTTAGAAAGCACACTTAACATGTTTTGTGGAATTCAAACTATGATATTTGAAAAGCACATCTTATATGTTACGTGTTGTTTGATATGATATTAAAACACACAATTGTTATAAATCAATGCAAAATCACCTGAAAATTTTCTTTATTAGAAAAAAGACAATATTCTGTTATTTACATCTGCAATGGCAATAGACATTGAATGAAGGTACATTTGCATGATAATTTATTGACCAAGGACTAGTGGAAAATATTTTGTAGTAAGCCAGAAGTTAGATTTCGGAAAACAGTGATGCATGTGAGGACAAAGATAAATTTAGGGGTTGTGCAAAAAATTACTAACAAGCTACTAAAATTCATGGAAAGATAGCAGGCATCAAGGTAGAGTTAGAAGCTATAAATCATCATTCATGCTTTAGAACATAGGAAAATGTTGAAAAGAGTGTCTCCAATGTCACAATATAACAATCAAACCGTTACAAAAGTATGCTATTGAAAGCATAGGGCTAAAATAAGAAAACTACCAACATATAATCAAAGGGATGATGTACTTTCAGTTTCTTGCTGACATTAAGGGCTTAATTTCCTCTTGGTTGTCAGAATTCAGAAATTTACCGACCAAGCATTTTAACCAAATACTTGATAGATCAGATTGTCAAAATTGCAAAAGCAAACATAAGCAGATTACAGCTGGTAAATGTCCTAATATACATGTTCACTGAATAAAAAAATACTAAAACAAATTATAACTAACCGAATAACACATGTAGACCATATCATACTAGTAAGAAACATTATTCAACATCAACAAAAACCAGATTTTCATCAATTGCATAGCATGCTGATAAGAACATAATATGCGCCGATCCACAAAGCAATCAACTTCTCAAGTTAATCAGAATATGAGATATCTCTAATTATCTTAAATTATACGATTAGACATCAAATCAAAATTGCAAAAGAAAAAGAAATAAATCCAACAAATTCATCCTAAAAAGCTACCACAAATTAAACTGATAAAAAGGGCAAAGGGGAAATTGGACCTGGTAATGGAGTTCAGGTCTCTCCTGTTTCCTCTTGAACTCATCGGACTTCTCGAAATAGCGCTCCATCATATCGAGAAACCGATCATTGTCCTCCGTCGAACACCTAGGATCCTTTACCAGAAGAGCTCCCGTCTCTCTCAAACTCCTGCTCACCTGCGAACAAAGCTCCCGCACCTCCACCGTCAGATCGCCACCGTTGTTATTGGCAGATATCTCGATGTATGGGGCAAGATCGACGACCGGAAGATCCATGGCTGCGTCCGGCATCCGATCACGACTCGATCGAATGCGTAGCCTTTTCCACTTTCTATTTCTTGTTTTCTCGAATGGCGGGAGAATTTATTTTTGGGGAGTAAAAGAGGAAGCGTGACGGAAATGGAATACAGCCTTCGTATAAGGCACGACTTGTGGGGTGAAAATCGTTAAGGGGCTGTTTGGCAACAAGTGGGATTTAACTCTAGTGGGATTTAATATATCCTGTAAATTTAGATTTAGTAAATTTTAAATGTGTTAAATCTTGAAAACTGTTTGGTATGTCAAATGTTAAATCTTATTAAATTCTTAGAAACTGTTTGGTAACATATTTTAGGATTTATGACAGTTAGAGATTTAAATGTGAAGAATATAATTATAAATTAAAAAATAAATTTATAATTAAAAATAAAAATTAAGGTATTATAAATTTAATAACATATTAAGTACAAATTATTCATTAATTATTATTTACACTATTAATTAAATATTTAATAATACAAACATATTAAGTTATATTAATTAAGCTAATT